TTTTCAATTACTTTAATTTCCAAATATTGAAATTTTCAAATATTTAATTTCTCAAATATTCAAACTTCCAGATTTTCAAATATTCGAATTCAGAGTTCTCCAAATTTTCTTTTCACTCATCAAAAATTGTAAAGTCCTCACATTTTCTCTTTAAACCATCTCGAACATCTCGCGACCGAACTATTATTTCACCGAATCGCGACAACTTCACTCTCCGACAAAGTGGAATTTGCCAACAGTCTAACCGGCACCCATAAACCAATCCCTTCCGGCCTCCGTAACTCAAAATTCCAAGTGACAGGATCGCCACGAGATCTACTCCGCAACACCTTACCAAAATCAAGCAACCGTAAACACCACCCAAATAATTACAAAAAAAAAAAAAAACACGAAATTTCAGTCACCTAACCTGCTTCATCAATGACTGGTTTACCTTACAACATGCCGCTGACGTCCCAAATTATGCCAAATCAGAGTGTACCAGTACAGACGAGTCACAATAACTTCCTACCGTTCCAACAACCGCAACCAGTCGTGCAACAAATGCAAACCGCTCCTTCCGTTGCTTATCCGACAAATCCGCAAGGTATTCGTACGTGTTTGCAAAAGTTATTAGCAGTTCGCGTACGTATCGATTATCGAGAGAGAGAGAAGGGGAAAGGGGTTTTCGATGGGAAATATTGCTTCTCGCGGATCGCGGTCGAGCGGATTGGGTTTAATGAAACGCTTTGAGAAGGTAATGAAGATTTTTCATTGCAATTCGGGGGTGGTATGGATTTCGCGCATTTTAACGCGCTACCGATTATTATCGGTGGTACGGTTCGATATAGATACATTTCTAATGAGCATTGTTCGAAGTGAGAAACTTTCCTTCTGACCTACTAATTAATTTTTTTCCAATTTCAAAGAATACCCAGAGAGAAGGAATAATTTTCCCTGAATTATGGAGCTTAATTAGTTAAGTGATCTCAGTTGAAACTTCAATACGAAGGAAAAATCGCAAATTTTGTATTAAAGAAGGAAAAAGGAATCGAAAGTTCGTCGAGAATGGTCGATTTTAATTTAACACAAAGCTCGCTAAAATTACGATATAGCAGGTTTCAGAATCTTCTTCAAAATGATGCTCTATGAAACCAGCTATAGGGCCAGCTCCTTATAAAAAATATTCTACCTTAAAGAAAAATACGTATAGAAATTTTAAAATTTCTTCAAGCAAAGTACCTCTTCAAATATGTTTGCAAATATTTAAGTTACAAAATGTTCGAAACACCATTTTCAATTTTACTGAAAACTCAAAATAAATTACCAATACATAGATCCTAAATTACAGCGAGTATTTGAAACTTTATCCTCTATTTGACTAAAAACTCAAAATAAATAATCAATGTACAGATCCTTTCAAGCAACCGTTCTACCAGCTCCATCAAGCAGACGTCCTCGTGGCGAACCACCAATACACCCCAAACTTACTACCACCAAAATACCCATACCCGCCAGCATTCCACACCCAGCACACAGTTTCACCGGTCATCCAAACGCAGCAGCCAAGCTACAATCCACTTCCTCAGAATGTCCTCGACCAGATTCGCAACACCGTCAGCAGCGCTGCTCCTATATTTATCCTACCAAGTGGCTGTCATCAGGCCACAAATCAAGCCAGCAATTCTATGAATCAAGGAGGCGTGGCTCAACAGACAGGACAGTCGACAGGCTTCAATTGCCCAATCTACTGTCCACCCTCTTTCTACCCTTACCCACTTCCTTTCCCAATGTTCGACTCTTTTGGAACTCAAGCTAGATGCAAAGACGGTCCACGAGGTTACTCGTGCTGCCATCAAAAAAGAAACGCTTTAGATTCGACGAACTATCCACTCAGCTGCTGCTGCAACATGCAAGAAATGGAGGAACATCGTTGTACAGCTACGCATGACGATACAATTTGTTCGAAACGAAACTGTCCATCTTCTATCAGCCTGCAAGCTCTGGCATCGCAGCTTTTGTCACTGCCAGGGATCATATCTTGCGCAGCTACGAGATTGATCTTGAGAAAGGTGGCTGGATCGAATATAACTAACACTATGGAGGATATAATGGAGAAAGCTCAGAAATCTATTGGTAGCCTTACGAAGGATCAACTGTTGGTCGAGTCAAGAAACGCACAACAAGTGAACGCGTTGATTAATCTACATATGACCACCACACCGCCGGCGAATATTATTCCGTTGCTCACGCTGCTGCAGCTGAAAGTGAACGTGCTGAAGGCGCAGGTTGAGAGCTTGATCAACAAGAAGGTGATGGAGTGCCAGGGATACGGGTTCGAGGTGAGGATCTGTTTTGCTGTTTAACCCTTTCGTTATCGGCGAGACGTATGTAGATGGTCTGTTTGAGTAGCCGAAAAAAATTGCTGTTAATTGAGGATATTATGAGACGTGATAAGTGGGAGATAAATAAGACGAAAATTCTTAGAAAAAATAAATATGTAAGAAAAAAGTAATTGTGTCACGAAAGGGTTAACACGTTCTGTGCCACGTATACTATTTTGTTGAAGATCTATTTTTTTTTTTATAATTTGGTTTTATGTCACATCGACATCTAGGTGATCAGTGACAAGTTTGGTTCGATTTCCTTTACTTAGATCTCATGGTAGAGTTAGGACTCTTTTAGGTAGTATGTTGTAGTCCTGTGACTGTTGAAGATTTGTCGAGCTCTCATTAAACGAATAAGAATGCTCTTCGATTCGATGCTAGAATGAAATAAACACAGAGGAAGATTAAAGTGTCAATGTGATTTTTTAACTTCGTTTCAAAGTTCAGCTAAATCTTGCAATCTTCATACGGCACAGAGCGTGTTAAGTATTATACTTAGATAGGTATCAAGCACTTAAGATACAATTTTAAAACTGCAAAGACGAGTCACACTTCAACACACCCCGAAACAAAATCCTCATAATTTAATCATCCTCACCTCTCCTCACGCTATCTAGGTCAGAAAGGACAATTAACGTAACGACCCTCTGTCGTCAAGAATTCCTGTTTCACCCGGTTCACCCATCTATTTATCCATTCATCGCAATTTCGTGCGAGAGAACTCCGCGAATATTAAAAGAACACGTTCCTTCACGCTCACGAGAAGCGTCGATTGCGTCCTCATTTGCATGCCATTCGCGTTCCAGGTGGAGACCAGCGGACCCATAGACCCCACTGTGCTCACGATGAAGACGAACGCCGAGCTACGACAACTGTTGTCCGCCTTGAGGCAGAAAGAATGCGACGAACGAGTGAACGCTAACTTTTCTCCGTATCATTCTCAACGTGTAATAGCCGAGGCTCGTTTGAACAACGTTCAAGCCAAGATTCGTCAAGTAGAAGCGGAATTCGAGAGAAGAAGATGCATGACGGTGCCTACTCCTACGCTCACTTCAAGAATCATCCAACAGTTCTCAGAATCGAGATGCATGATTGGTTTTGCTCACGCGAACATATTCGATCCTTACGTGCAACGAAGTACCATGGACTCTCCGGATCCCTTCGTACCTTGTATACGAAATCCTAGGAAGTTGTATCTGAAACCTCGAGAACCTGGACAGGAAACAGCGCAAGGGAGAGACGAGAATGAGACGACATCCGAAGGAACGTCGATGTGCAAGGACACTGGTACCGGCGAGGGCAACGTTAATTCCTCGAAGGACAAAGGGGTCGAGTCTAAATCGAGCGAGGATACGTGCAGTTGCGAGGGAACTTCCTCAGAGGAGAGCCTCGACGAGGATAAAAAAAAACTCCGGCTAAAGATTGACGAAGGTGGAAAGGTGACGATAAGTTGTGGGGCGAGCTTGAGGGATGTGTCGCTGTTGAGGCTGGCGTCGAATGTCGTTACGAGGATTAGGAAGGTTTGTAAGAAGGGTAGAGGACAGGGGAAAGGAGTGAAAGAGGTGAGGAGAGTGTCTCGTGATGGAGAAGAAGTAGACGAGGAGATGAAAAAAGATGAGGAAGAGGTGAATTCTGGGGACAAGTTGGTGTATGTCAAGGACGGGGATACTGATAGTGAAGACTTTGAGTTGTTTATATTTGAAGAGGATCCAGGTGATGAGAGCAGTGATAGCGAAGACTTAGATCTGTTTATATTTCAAGAAGACCCAGACGGTGAGACCCAGATCAAGGAGGATATCAAGGAAGAGCCTGAGAGTATAGAAAGTATAAGAATTCCTGATTCTGCAGATATACCGATTAAGAAAGAATCTAAGAGTATGGAAAAGATAGGAATTCCGGATTCCGTAGACACACCGATTAAGAAAGAACCTGAGAGTGTGGAAGAGATAAGAACTGGTAAAGATATTCCGATCAAGGAAGAATCAACGAAACAAGACGAGGAAAAGAAGTCTCCGCAATACACAACGGTTAAATCTGTAAATGTAGAGCCAGAAACGAAGGTAACAGAGCTGTATGTGGAACCAAAAGTGAAAACTGAGACACATAAGGCGGAAGCATACATATACGTGGTACCACAAGTACCAGTAGATCCACACGTGAAAACTGCGATGGCTGAGAAGTCACATGTGGAACTATTAGTAAAAACTGAGGCAAAACCACAGTCTGGACCATCTTATATAGCACCAAAAATAAAAACACACCCTAAAACGCTGGGAATACCGTTAAATGTACCAAAAGTGACAATGCAGCCACAAACGCATGCAGCACCCTTGTATGTGGTGCCAAAACCGAAAACAGAGCCTAAAACGCAGGTGGTACCACGGACACACGCGGATCCACACGTGAAAACGATGTTAGCTGAGATGTTGCACGTGGAACCAGCGGTGGAAACAGAATCAGGACCGTCTTTTGCGGTACCAAAAGTGATAACGCGGCCCAAACCGCAGGGAGCACCGTTGTTCGCGGTACCAAAAGTGAAAACTGAGCCAAAACCTCGAGCAACTCCGTTATATGCGGTGTCAAAGGTGAAAGAGGAGCCGGAATTAATGAATCCTGAAGGCAACAAGGTACTGGAGACGCGAGAAACCGATGAATCTTGGAGTACTCCGTTTGTAAGAACTCAGAAGTTTGAAGACGATGGCGAAGCGTTGAAAGGGAAGTCAACTGTCGAGGATGTCTCGAAGAACCAAGGAACCGGAAGTGAAGCCGCTGAGCAATGGAAGACGCCTGAGGAGGGACGATCTTCTGATTTGCATGAAAGCACTTTCTATATGATTAAACCGATAACAAAGAAGAAAAGGGTAATTAGAATACTGAAGAAAGAAGATGAACTTGTTTCGAATGAAAATGGTGGATCGCAAAGGAAGGATAGTAAGGAAAGAAACGTGCAGTTTGTGTCAATGATGACTCGTGTTAAGTATAACAGGCGTTTTGGTGATTTTGGGGAATGGAATATCAACGAGTGTAATGTCGAAAAAACAGAAGATTCTTCAAGAGACGTTGAAAAAATAAATACGATCAATGAGAATCAAGCACATTTCCCTTCAGAAAATGAAAATCCCTTAATTAACATTCAACAATGTGAATCCCTTGTTACGACTGAAAAAAATAATGAAATTGGTAAAAATACACTTGTGGAAAAAATGTTTCCAAAAGTTCATAAAAAAAATGGTAAGTAAATTTTAATACATAAATTGAAAATAAATAGCTATATTAATTATACAATTAAAATTGTGATAATAGAATAGCCTTGTTACCATTCTTTATTCTATATTTTATGCAATACTTACTCAAATACGATAAATACAAACAACCGATACGATCCACAGATGAAAATTTCACAACTGGACTCAAGTGTTTTCCGCCACTGAAACACGCAGAACCCAAATCAGCACGAACAACAACCTTTGAAACTAGATTCCATCAAAGGAAGATTGAATCGAAGACCGTTTGCGATAGCAACACCTTTTATCACCACGATTCAGAAACGGAGAATAGTATTGCCTCCAGGATATACTCTATGATCGAAAATCAGTTCGTTTCCTTCGGTTCATTGCTGAGCAATATACCAAATATACAGGATGTTATGTCGAACTTGCATTTCGACAAATTATCGCGTAATACTTTTAACGAGAATGATCTGACCGAACAAGTGGATAATGCTACGAATAATAAAAGAGAATTAAATGAAAAAGACGATTGGACTTTACTTCCTTTGAACACAAATGCTTCCTACGATGATGAACACGCTACTTCCGGCGGAAATTACGTTTCCGCTTACGAAGGGTGTAGAAACGTGCGTGAAATAAAACACTCGATAATCGTGGATAAGGAAAAGGAGAATTATGTAGTAATTCGGGGCTCGATTAGCGGACAATTTCGAGAACTGTCGAGGAACGGTTTCAAACGACCCTATCAAACTCGCAGGAGTTTGATAATAAGAAGTCGATTGAAAAATCCTGAACATTCGAAGAACGAATATGTGCGTCCTTTCACGGTTTTTAAGCGACCCAAAAGAAGTCAAATATTCGTGTCTGAAGCAATGAAACAGACAGAGAGAAAATTGAAATTTAGAGAGAAACTTTTGTCGTTGCCTGAAGCATTGGAAGATATGGAAAGGTTGGAAACAGTCGACGACAATAATTTAAATAATAATGAAAAAAACGAAGAACATACAGAAGTGTCTCAAGAAGCAATATTTCAACAGAATAGTAAACACAGTAATGACTTGAATAATAATTACAGTGCTGCTTCGTTGAATGGAAATGAACACGTAACAGACGTGCAGGATAATTTCAATGATATAGGGATAAATAGACAGACATAATTTGAACGAATATCACGATTTTATTAGGGTTTGGCAGTAAAGTATAACACTGAACATTAAATGGAAAAATAATGACATAAGAAAAGGCGAATCTTTTACAAATTTGCTTGCTTTGTGCGAAATAAAATTCTCTTCGAAGATAGCCCCGGTTTGAAAATTGTACTCTCTGGAACATCGTTACGCGAATGCTCTTTAATCGCGCTGGCCATCTTTGGAAGACCCAAATTGACGTGAAATGAAACGAAATAAAATAAACTCAATATATTCGTGCAGATACAACAATATCGATAATCTTTTCTAACACTCGAAAAAAGAAAAAGAAATGTTGAACAAATGTACATTTGTCTCGTAGTTGGAAATAACTGCAACTTGGTGAGCAAATGCATAGTGTGTGTACCTTCTTCCGCTTTATTAATCGTTAATCCACTTTGTTTTAACGGTTACTAATTTTCGGTCGATGGACCACATCGTTTATCGCTATCGTTAGCTGCTTACTGAGAATCTTTAGAATCCATAGTGTATAGTAACAACGCGACAACGAGGGTTGAACAGACCCTCGAAATCGTACAGCTCTGTTTTGTTTTAGAGGCCAGAATGAAAATCCTTAACGTAATTTACCTCATGTGCTATTATAACACTCATTCGCGTCAACGCAAAGGCATTCGATCCATCAGACATTTCAGATTCAAATACATCCGTACATTGTACACTATAGTCTGTCCAGGATCAACTGGTTAGTCAAAATCATTGCGGAAGAAATCCTCACCATAACTTAATGTACTCTTTGTTCCATTTTATTACTTGATTTTAATATGAAAAAATACAAACTGAAGCATTTCATACATTTTGTTAAAAAAGGAAATAATTTATTAGTTTGTTTATAATAAAATATATATATATGGCT